ACTGGAGGGCTTCATTCAAGACATGGAACCGTCGAGCAATACTGCACAACTGTCCGTGAAGCATATGCTAACTCTTTATAGCACTCTGTAACTTGTCTTGTCCACTTCTAGTCCGTACTAGCCTATGCTAACTCTTTAGCACTCTGTAACTTGTCTTGTCCACTTCTAGTCCGTGCTGGCTCATAAACCAGTCAACCACACTAGGTATTTCCCAACGTGGTCCAACCACTCTTTCTTCATCCAGTTCTTTGCCCGTTTATAATGCTCCGAGGCCACCGCCTAGAGCCGGGCAGGCCTTACTAAGCACATATATTGCTGACACACACACACACACACACACACACACACACACACACACACACACACACACACACACATGCAAATAGCCCCCCCCCCCCCCGTGATTATAACTATTAGCGACGCGACATCATCACCAGATCATCAGATTCTTATTTTTAGTTACGACTCTAGCATTCATACTTGGCCGTTTCAAGAACTGGAAATAGAAGAAGAGACCTGTATTATAACGAGTGTGCACACTGGCTGACATGGGCTGACATGGCCTGCCGTGGGTTGACCACTCGGGTGATTCCAAATCCACCATTGAAATGCCTCCCCAAGCAATCTAAGCAAAGCAAATATCACAGGTCACAAGACTGCTGCCCAGTTGGGATGTTTCCTGAGCTCCTGGAGGGGTCACGCGGTGGCCAAACGGAGGGAAGCAGCAGCTTGCACCGCGATTCTCTCACAATCGACAACACTGCTGCGTTGAATAGCGCATACGCCGGGATGGCCCATCCAGCTCACCCATTACATAGGGGATTGCATTGATGTTTGTTTGTTTACCATAAAACAAACAAGCAAACAACATTGCATGTGGGGTATGACGACAGCATTGCACTCTACTATAAGACCACTTGTATCTAGGGTAGCTGCAACGGTTGTGGAGATACCGTGCTCAAAAGTGGTGTTGTGGGGCGGCATTTTTTTCACTCAAAGCAGAGCACAGCACAGCACAGCACAAAACAGCACAGAAAAGCTGCGCTGTGACGCGAGAGGCCAGGCCATACGCTGAAAGCAGTGTGGTGAAACACTGTCACTGCCAAATCATCTACATGTGCAGCGCTGCTCAACGAAATCCAGTCATGTCACTCAAGTACAGTCAGATCTCGCATAACCGCACACATCCGTTTTCCACAAAAAATATCCGGATAGACGAGGGAACCGGATAATCGAACACGCATACTGTATGTATGCATGATATATGCTGTAAATCGGTAACCAGCGATTTTCTTCCGGATGGCGAGGGATCCGTATAAAAGAGGACCGCATACGCGAGGTCTGACTGTACACGCCGGGCATTGCGCAGCCGCAGACCTGCGAGCACTGGGCTGCGAAATGGTGCAAGGCGCCAACTTGAGCGACGCGACTGGATTTCATTGGCCAGTACTGTACATCAGCCTGTGTGGTGTGCATCTCTATCAGCCTGTGTGGTGTGCATCTCTACTGCGCAGGATGACAAGGCGCGGAGGGTCTAGCATTCAATTTGACCACACAAAAAAAGAAATGATGATGATGGCAACTTGATGGAAAGTGGGGGCTGACACAAACTTAGAAGTATCGAGCACAATAGGTAGACATCTCCGCGGTTCCAGCAGATACTACAACACAACAGACAGGAAGTGGCAGTGGCGACTGCGCTGCTGGTGGCAAAGTCGCCACGAGCAGTAAACAAACATGGCACATATTTTGCAATGAAGATGGGAATGCAGCTAATGAGTGACACATTGTGGATGAAGTTGGTGAATGCCTGGCGACTAGGTGGTGGTAATAGCTGGTGAATGCTTGGTGACTAGGTGGTGGTAATAGCTGGTGAATGGTTGGTGACTACATGGTGGCAATAGCTGGTGAATGCTTGGTGACTAGGTGGTGGCAATAGCTGGTGAATGGTTGGTGACTACATGGTGGCAATAGCTGGTGAATGGTTGGTGGTAGGTGGTAGTATTAGCTGGTGAATGGTTGGTGACTAGGTGGTGGCAATAGCTGGTGAATGGTTGGTGACTACATGGTGGTAATAGCTGGTGAATGGTTGGTGGTAGGTGGTAGTATTAGCTGGCGAATGGTTGGTGACTACATGCAATAGCTGGTGAATGGTTGGTGACTAGGTGGTGGTAATAGCTGGTGAATGGTTGGTGGTAGGTGGTAGGTGGTAGTATTAGCTGGTGAATGCTTGGTGACTAGGTGGTAGTATTAGCTGGTGAATGGTTTGTGACTAGGTGGTGGTAATAGCTGGTGAATGGTTGGTGGTAGGTGGTAGTATTAGCTGGCGAGTGGTTGGTGACTACATGGTGGCAATAGCTGGTGAATGGTTGGTGTGGTGGTAATAGCTGGTGGATGCCTGGTGACTACATGGCAGGTGGCTGATGACTAGGTGGTAGCAATAGCTGGTGATTTGATCTACATCACCATTGGTGACACTTCTAGCACACGCAGGTGAAAAAACACTTTCGCCTAGCCCAGCAAAACAAGAGAGCCTGGGCAAAAAAAGGAGCTTACAGCGGAGTACCAGCTGCTACACAGGAGAACAGCTCAACACAGAGCACTTGACTTGATGGTGAGGTTTGGGTCTGACGCTGCGGCTGAAAGCATCGCGACTGTGAAACAGCATCCAGCAAAATGGGACAAGAACAGTCGCACGCCCCTCAGAACCCGATGAGACCACCGCTCGAACAGCCGACCGGTAAACGCCCAGCAGCAGCAGCAGAGGACCCACCATCCACCACGGCACGGCAGGCTATGTCTGCACCAGTAGAATTGCCAGCAGTGGATGCAAGCAGAGCAAGAGCTGGGTCAGAGGAAGAGCGCCATCTCCACAGGTTACGTCAAGCAGCAGCAGCAGCAGCAGTAGCAACGGCAGAAACAAACGCAGAAGATGCCGAACTAACAGCGGTAGAAGCAGATACAACAGAAGCAGCAGCAGCAGCAACAGCAGCACCTACGGTATCCAAGCCAAGCTCAGCCACCGTGCGCGAGACAGAACCACAGCCGTCTGATGCACCTGCCCCACCCAGCACGTGCTGTTTGAACAGCAGCAACCCAGAGCGGCGTAGGATGGTGACTTGGAAAACCTGGCAAACTGATCCCACAATGAACGGCAACGAAGGACAACCCAAACTGGAAGGGTATTCCAGACTCAGCGTCTTCAAGCATCGTGCCCATTTGATCTCCATGCCAACGGTCGGCATCCCCACGCAAACGGAACGCGGGCAACCGGACTCTGAGTCTGGAAATCCCGGTCTCGCTCCATCCAGCCCTGCACATGCTCCCAAGTCACCAGCTACACTCGCACCTGCTGACATGTGGGGTGCGACAAGCCAAAACATGGTCCAGTGGACTTCGGCGTTAGAAGCCCAACGATTTTCGAACCCTATCTCGGAGGAGAGCCTTGCACCGCAAGGACAGGCTAATCCCATTCCAGAGGAGAGCTTAGCTCTGCAAGTACAGGCTATCCCCATCCCAGAGGAGAGCTCAGCCCCGCAAGTACAGGCTAATCCCATTCCAGAGGAGAGCTCAGCCCCGCAAGTACAGGCTAATCCCATTCCGGAGGAGAGCTCGGCTATGCAAGTACAGGCTAACCCCATTCCAGAGGAGAGCTTAGCCCCGCCAGTAGAGGCTAACCCCATCCCAGAGGAGAGCTAAGTCCCGCCAGGACAGGCTAACCCCATTCCAGAGGAGAGCTCAGCCCCGCCAGTACAGGCTAATCCCATTCCGGAGGAGAGCTCAGCCCAGCCATTACAGGCTAACCCCATTCCAGAGGAGAGCTCAGCTCCACCAGTAGAGGCCATCGATGATGTCTCCTCAGTCCATAGCTGCAACTAACTACTTGTCTTTACTGTCCGCAAGTTACATGTGGTGTCTGGACAAGACTTTCTACAAGCTAGAGAGGTCGAGGCTGTAGTTGACCCAAGGGAATAAATACAAACGCGTGCCTGTGTGCACAGTTTTGTCTCGATTGCCTTCTTTGAAACTGTGTAGCGTAACGACAACGTCATCATCATACGGTGTTGCTATCGTCTTGGAAAACGTGTGACAAATCTGTACATTTCAAGCCCAAGAACTTTATAGCTACTGTCATTGCACGGTCACCAAAATAGTACTGAGTGCCCGAGAATGTACCCGTGTAACAGTATAACAGTATCCTGCGATTACGTCATCACTTGGTCATCATTTGAGTACCCGTATAACAGTATCATGCGATTATGTCATCACTTGGTCATCATTTGAGTACCCGTATAACAGCATCATGCGATTATGTCATCACTTGGTCATCATTTGAACTGTTTTGTAGACAGCGATATTACAAGCATTGGCTTGATGTCACCGTGATCACGTCCTCATTCGAACGATGTTGAATAATACAGTGCCATTAGAAGCACTGGTCTGGAACACACACGATGGCGTCATTGCACCATTGCGATTACGTCAGCATGTGATCTGTTTTTGTATACAGAGATGTTACAAGCACGGGTTTGGTACACATTGCGATTACGTCATCATTCTTCTAATGAAGTGGCATTACAAGCACTGGTTTTGGCACACACAATGAAGTCACAAGAAAGTTTATAATATCCAGAGCAACACAAGTTGGCAATGGACCTAGGCTGAATTAAGCTGTGTAACTCGAACCTTCATGGCTATCCATCATCATCAGCCTTTTCGCGTTTACATCGCCAAGGGTAGTCTTCGCTTAGGCCAAATGGAATACAGAATGAAGAACGAGCGCGTGCTATTTAAATACGCATACGAATGCAGAGTAGGCAACGAAAAATAGGCAACGAAAAATATAATCAAAACCGTCCTAAACACACACGGACTGTCAACTGTTACTTCCACAACTAAAACCCGCAAACTGCCGAGTATGATACATGTACAGAGTCATGGCTATCTGTGGTATCGAATACTGCAGGGCTAAGTATGGCTGCACCAGGCGGAAAACTTACCGAGTTTGAGCGTCTGGGTTAGGATGCCGGGTGCAAAGTTGTTCATGACGTCACCACTGACGCCAGTGTAGTATGTGATGTAACCGAATATACCAACCTGGTAACGACACGGAGATGCAAGACAAAAAGCAAAAAAACAAACGAGGAACACACAAACTCACACTAGATTCTCATTGACAGACATGAGTCACAAGAGAAAGAAGGCGACACGTGACTGGGAGCATGAGATACATGTACAGAGGTTCAGGTGCAACGTCACACGTTTGCCTGGCCACAGCGCCGTGCACAGTATAGATCTACAAGTAGCACAACTGCAGGTAGGAGACACCCAGGTAAGGCTGTGAACCCATGACAGTATGTACTAATTGATACAGGTTGAGAGCAAATTGGGTTGATTTCTTTCGAACCCGTCACCTTACTAATGGCTTCAATTCACCCCAATATGGCTGGGGAAATTCTTGAATTACGGATTATTAGCCATGTTGTTGGTTAACAGCATATTACAAGCCGCATTGTAACATGCTGTCAACCAACAGAATGTTTTCAACAAAACAAGGTTTATCTAATACTGTAAAAGCCATTATTCTAACGAGGCGCATACATAACGATTTCCCAAAATTGACTAGTTTACGCGTACCAAAGGTAACGATTCTCACTCATTCTCAACGCTCAATAGGACAGTATATGTATCGATTTCTGTATAACGATTTCTATTTTAACGACAGATTTCTCCTCGTTAACTCGTTAGAGTTAGCACTTCGTTATGTATATGGCTTCTACAGTACCATATTATTAGACAGGTACATGCACTGTCTGCCTTTCCATTCTTGCCTCTCTCAAAAAATTCACATATTCCCATGAGCCTGGAAATCGCTGCGTACGGCACACAACATCATAAAGAATGCATGGTGAAAATATCTACATGAGGTTTTACTCAATCTGCGCACAACAAGAGGTTTTACAGTATGGCCCCCTCCCCTGGTCAATGTACCCTGGACCTGGGTCAATGTACCCTGGACCTGGGTCAATGTACCCTGGACCTGGGTCAATGTACCCTGGACCTGGGTCAATGTACCCTGGACCTGGGTCAATGTACCCTGCACCTGGGTCAATGTACCCTGGACCTGGGGAACAGCATAAAGAAGTGCAGGCAATCAGCTGACTCGGACTCACCACAATGTAAATAATGGTGACTAGGTTAACAGCTGAGTTCACTATAGTCGTCATCTTCTTGACGGACGGATCTTGCAGGCAATCGTACAAGACGAACACTTGCCTGCAATAGAAATGAGCACGTGGAAAGACGGGAGAGACAGGGCGGAGAAAAACTGAAACACAAAACAAATGTGCATGCCATTTCACCATCGTTACAGTAGAATAGGGTGAGATGACGGCGCTAAATAGTTCCTATTTGTCACGTGGAGAAACATCTATAATAATCAAACAACTAAACATCCAGCTCACAGAGCAAGAGAAAGCCCCCATAGCTCTAAACTCCAGAAATTCAGCTCAAAACCCAAAACGATCCAGAAGAGTATCTTGTCCACGGCTCAAAGCAAGAATGATCATTAATTTCAGACTCGAGAAAAAAAACTCAGCAAAAAAAGGTGAACGTGGCACTGCCCACTTAAAACTGTCGAGTACGTACGCTTGGCAGCTGAAAGCTAGAGAGAGAATGGGCAGGACGGCAAACGTTCCAGACGGCCGCCATATCACTATCTGGCCCGACCATTCGCCAGCGAACAGGGTGGGCATAGAAAAGTAAAATATCTAAAACAAAAAGACAAGGACAACAACAACAACACAGGTAGCAGCAGCAGCAGCAGCAGCAGCAGCAACAGCAACAGCAGCAGCAACAGCAGTGACAATAGCAGCAGCAACAGCAGCAGCAGCAGCAGTAGCAACAGCAGCAGCAACAACAGCAGCAGCAACAACAGCAGCAGCAGCAGCAGCAACACCAGCAGCAACAGCAGCAGCAAGAACAGCAGCAGCAGCAGCAACAGCAGCAGCAGCAACAGCAGCAGCAACAGCAGCAGCAGCAACAGCAGCAACAACAGCAACAGCAGCAACAACAACAGCAGCAACAGCAGCAGCAACAACACCAGCAGCAACAGCAACAGCAACCGAACCATCAAAGATGTAAAACTGCAAAACTAGTATCTGTCCACAGAGGATGTGTAGGGCATGTGACAGTAGATATGCCAGTAGATTCTGCCTGGATAAACTAATAACACAAAACTAAAAACGCTTGATACCTTATGAGAAGTATCTCTTTGACTGGATTAGTGAAATGGCACGTATTCACTGAAAGCGCACGTGACTAGCGCCGCTGGGAAACAAGTAGGTTTTCTCATTTGCGTACATAGTAAATTCACACTTTACTCTTGACTTGTTGAGCCGTCTCGAACGTTGTATTCCGCAAATTCCACTTCGTTGGGTCACTACTATTGTATACCTTGAAGACCAGTAGTCTAAATCGAAAGAGCAGCAGCAGCGATTAGAGAAACTTCTTTTCCACGCATTGTATGCGAAATCGAACAAGTGTCCCCACAGCGTGGCTCACGTGCGCCCATACCATGTATGCAGCGTGGGCGTCCGCCATTTTTAGATGAATACGTGCCATTGCGTGGATAGAGCAAATAAAACACTTGAAGTCAGGATAATTGTGAATACGCATAATCAACACTGGAAATGTTGACCAGGTGGCAAATAAAAACAAACACCACCCAGCTAAGCCTATTAGGACACAACGAATAACAGTTATCCATTACAAATCAAACACAAGGTCGAAGACAGCAGCCGAACAACTCAGTGGAAAGAGGATTTTACATTCACCAACGCCATTGACAATCCTCGTCCTCTTCAGAACCACCCTTCCTTCCATAGTGAGTGACTAATACCGTATTTCCGCGCTTATAAAGCCATGGCGCTATATCCGAATATAAGGCCACCCTCACTTATAAAGCCATGGCGTTCTAAGTGATCAAAATTCAATGTGGAGGAAGTAGCATCTGGCGTTAAAGGTGAGTTCAATTCTTTCAGTGAACCTACAGCAGCGGTGATTCTCCCTGCATGTACCCATCCCCACTGTCACATGCCATACCGCCACCACACCTTCACACAAGGTTGTATGCCACCTTGTACACAATAGGTTCACAATTTGAACTTTTCAGGGAAAATTGAAAGTACATGGATGCTCGACATGAAAGTGCAACGGCACCATACGAGTACTCGAAGTTCATACTCTGCCGTTTTTTGCATGTACGCGTCTCTCACTTTTAGCGCCATGGCGTTAAAACCGAGGCTATTTTCTCCAAAACTTTGGTCCAAAACAGCGATGTTTCACCTATAACGTCATGGCTTTATATGCGCGGAAATACGGTAAGCAATACGAAGCTGGAAACAGCAATTCTAACTGCTGACGAATCGTCACATAGAGACTACAATGAAGCTTAGTAGGCAACCAACCAAGGTCCTCATTTCCGATATGTCACTTTAGCCGACCTAAGCACACTGGACACACCATGCTCACCCCACTACCAATGTCAAGACACATGCAGTGCTGTAAAGTAACAAAATTTCGAAAGCATTTAACTTTAGTAAATTTCACGTGAAGATCATTCTCCAAGCCCGATTGCAATCGTAAAACTCACCAAAACAACAAAAACACCATAGAAGATAAGAGAAGCGGTGCTATAATTGGTCAAGGCGTTGATATTGTTCTTCAAGCTCAGCGGTAACACAATGGCTATCGCCACCACTATGAGAAGCATAGCTCTCAGCATGGGTGTCTCCTGTAGACAAACACCAGCAATAAAAGCACACACACACACGCACGCACGCACGTACACAAATGCCCGCACACACACACACAGACACACACATACACACTTCTTAATCTTCACACACACACACACACCTGTCCTGTCCTGAACATTGCCGTAAAACGGTCACATGTCCCCTCATGCGAGGGGGCGACAGACACGGGATAGGTCGTTGAATACGGTACGCAGCACGCTCCGCAGGCTAGCGGCCAACGAGAGTTCGGGTATACTTTGCGCAGCTGTGGAGTTGGAAACTCTTTGACCCCTCTTTGATCGGCAGTATCTGCCACATGCGCTGCAATGAGCCTGGCAGCAGGGTAGTGTTAGCTGAGTCCTCGCCGGCACACACACACACACGCACACGCACACACACACAAGTACACACACAGTGGCACACTGAACAAGGTGCTAAACTAACACAAGACAGGGCTGCCTGCAATGAAACACTGTCCCTTCGCCAGAAGCCCTGCACGCAGCACAATTCTCAACAGCGAGAGAAGGTGAGTGTGGGAGCTGTCCTTGTCAACTGGACAAAGAAATCAAGATCCCAAATGCCATGATGAAGGCAACAACCTTCATTCCAGACATGAACAGGAGCAGTGCAGCGGATGTCAGAAAAAATTACTAAGCAAGCACAATCGTCTCAGTGACACACGCACCTGGACTTTGAAGATTTTGGCAACAATGGCAGGTGCTAGATCGCCAATGATGACAAAGAACGCAGTACATGTTCCCAGAAGCAGACCAATCATACTGTACAAGAGACAGAGAGAGACAGAGAAAGAGAGAAGAAAGAAGAGAACATGTAAGGAAGAAACAATGGGCAGACTTCATGCACAATCGAAAAGCAATACCGTAAAATCCCGCCAGAGCGCCCCGTCTCTCCCATCCGCCCCTCCCTGACTTCTTGTCAGGGAAGTGATTGATTGTATCCTTGTATGACTCTGCGATGCCGTACGACTCGTACTGTGCTGCAGTCGAGTGCTCGACCCGGTTGGAAATGTACGCAACAGCACCCACCCTCTTGACCAGGGATCGCACAAACCCTGAGTGTTGATGGGTCTGTACGACCCCTGGCTCTCAAACTTCGGTCGGTGTACGAGATGCACGAACAGTTTTCGTAGGGTGAGTACTTTTTCATGTAGTACTGAATGCGGTAAGTAGGACTCGCCCATCCGCCCCTAGGCCCTCCCCATCTGGACCTACTCAAAGGGTGGTGGAGGTAGGGGCGCTCTGACGGGATTTTACGGTACAATCAAATAGTGAAACGGTACTGGAAATCCATTCGCAAGAACAGATAAAACTCGGGAAGAACAGGGCAGTACTCAAAGAGCCGACCTCATCACGCCAGCAACATGACTCCAAGTTGTAGACACTGACAATAAAATTTAGCGTAGCATTCACAAATTATGTTAGTGAGTTTTAGCAGGCCAGTAGTGCGGTTACAAGCACTAAGAACATAGGGTGTTTCAATTGGCACTTCTCACAGCAGGGTACAGAGCTATAGCACTGCTTGGACTACAATCACTGATTAGGAAGTTCGAACACAGACGAAGAGACAGAGAGACAGATGGACAGACAGACAGATGCGTACCTGAGCTCAACTAATAACTTCCCGACTGGTCCGAACGTATGAACCGCTGTAGACCATAAGAAAAGACATGACAGAACAATTGAAGGAAAAATCGACGAGGAGACAATAGAGATGTCTTGCATAGCGAAACTTCGCATGGATTATCGCGTCTGGGCTGGCAAATATCTCGGCAGATGTTACCGCGAAGTTTGTGTTTCGCATGGTTTTCACTCCAAAAAGGTATGCGTGCACTCGCGCTTGTTTGTGAAGTGGTAATTATATTTTCGGTAACTAACTTCGGTACAGGTAATTTTTTACCTAAAATAAAACGCACCCAAAATCTATGTACATACATGCCTGCGGTACGGAAACTGGGGTACCGAACTGTTGATTTTGGAAAATACCGAAAATATTACACAACCGAAAATTCCCGGTTTTACAGTCTACAGAGGTGCTACGCTGATGAGACCACTAAGGCTAGAATAGAAGAGAATGGGGTCCGGTCCGCACATCAAGTGGACAGGTGTATGTCAGAGAGTGTGAGAACCTGCCTCCGTCTGCACGCGAGTGATTGCCAAACGAGTGTCGCGCACGCGTTGAATGAGTGGAGCATACGTTGTAAGAGTCTGGCCTGGGAGCGAGAGTTCGCGGTCTCGTTGTCTCGGTTTTGATCAGGTGTCTTGTAAGCACTCGTCCCTAATTGGTCGTTGTGATCTGTCTCCACCTTCGATTTCGTCATCACTACCGATAATGAGTGTGTTGTGTTTCGCCTTCCTCCTTTTGTGCCCCCACTGATATACATGTACATTCTAAGAAGAAGTCAACAGTACTGATGGGAGATCGCCATGTTGTGTGGCAGGGCCAGAGAGAGAGAAAGCAACGAAGTGCATAACAGTGCCACATTCGGCGCAGGCAGAGAATTGGGCGCTCTCGTTCGACAACGTCATCACATAGGGAACTCACCTAATGTTTCGTAGGATTTCCGACGGCCGTATTGAGACGATCGTAGGAGCAGGAAGCAGGAGAGTCGTGTCAGGTACGCCGTGCCCAGAACAAGCATGCAGCCGAGGAGAATGCCACACTGCAGAACAAAACAACGGTGATGACAACAACAACAGCAGCAACAGAATTGAAGAAGATGGTGAGCAGAGCAGCCAGAAAGTGCAACAATTACAGTCAACTTTGCGTATAACGACACTCGGCGAGGCATCAGAAAAGTGTCCTTATACCCGAAGTCTCATTATATGTATATAGGTTAGATGGGACTTTGCTCTGGGCATGGACTTTCTGCCGTTATTCGCGAATTGTCGTTATATCCGCAGTCGTTATTAGCAAAGTTGACTGTAGGCTCAAACTGGCAAGGAGTACCGTGACATGCAACGACGTGACACCAAGCTCAAACACATGTCATGTTATAACACGCAAAACAACAGCCATACTGCCCGGAAGGGGAAGGTTTTTCCCTACAAATGAATCCCCGGCTCAACATCTGAGCATCTGCCTGGTAGGATAATAATTAGGAACAATCTCCACAGGGGGAAGGTAGACACGACGAAGACAAATACAGGCTGAGGGGGCGTTTGTTTTGATTTACAGGTGTTGGTAAAACCCACTTCTTTCTCCAATTATTTTGGCTCAGTACTCGTGTTTATTTTAAATTATTTATTTTATATATTCATGAGCCATTGTACTACACATACCCAACAGCTACTAGCACTGTACTCCAGTATTACATGTACTACAACAGTAGACTGCTTGTTGGGCCACAGGTGATTTACGGCGCTCAGACAGTGAGCAACTTCACTTAAACATAACATATGACACACACACACGGACACAATTGCCCATACCTCAAGCTGTGTACTGTATGCACATTCCGTGTTACAAAGACTCAGAACGCAAAGTGCCAATCTGGGCTGGGCTTGTACATGAAGTGTTCAAGTATTTGTCTTCGTAATAAAACACTCACACAAGCCACTCTACGTTGCCCAAAATCCCAAATACTGTAACAATACAAAACTCCAGGTGTCAGAGGCCTGCAACACTTCCAGTGTAACTTGAAATTAAATGTTGTCTGGCATTTAGGCGGTCAGCCTTTGGGTCATCCTGATAAAGTTATTATTATTATTTGAAACTCGGATGTTGAGCCAATAATACATGTAGAAAGGAAAAGGACATTGGATACGACAGGACGTCGAATGTCTCAGTACTCTGTCAGTTTTGTGCCTAGTTGTTGCACTTTCTGACTGTATATAGTATCTGGTTACAGTGATGGAGCGGTACTCTTAACTCGTATCCATGTCCTTTTCCTTTCTACATTTACTATTATTATTATTATTATTTCAATTCAACTATAGCACACAAGAGAGTGCCTTTTTCAGGTATGACCTAAATTTAGTGTTGGGTTTCTCTAAAAACACGGTGCAAGTGAGACCCAGTCACATCGAGTTTTCCGCATCCGTAGGAATCCCACTACCACTTTCTCTACCAAAGGTGACATAAAGTTCAGGTTCAAATTACATCGAAAATTAAGCACTATACAGAACACATCATGTAACATGGAGACCAACCCCGACTGCTAGGACGGATTAAGACAGAAAACCCAGCCCGCTCACACACCAGCTGGCAGCAGTTAGCAGCAGCTGGTAACTTTACAAACCCCTATAGTGCTAGTACACCCCACACAGGTATGCCTAAGCACAACAGCGTTTACAGTCAACCTTGCGAACAACGACCCTCGCCCGGCCAAGAGAAACGCGCTGCTATTCGCGAGGCTAATGTATGTGATCAACAGGTTACTTGGTCTGAAGATAGTGTTGCTATTTGCGAGGTTGATGTACGTGATCAACAGGTTACTTGGTCTGAAGATAGTGTTGCTATTTGCGAGGTTGATGTACGTGATCAACAGGTTACTTGGTCTGAAGATAGTGTTGTTATTTGCGAGGTTGATGTATGTGATCAACAGGTTACTTGGTCTGAAGATAGTGTTGCTATTTGCGAGGTTAAAAGTATGTGATCAAGTGGCTACTTGGTCTGAAGATAGTGTTGTTATTCGCGAGTTGTTGCTATACCCAAGTATGTTATTTGCCAGGCTGGCTGTATTAATGTGTACTAAACGCTATGCCATACACGGCAGAACGTGATTCACCACTCAGTCTGCATGCACACCGTAATCCCAGGAACATACAAACATGTTCATATTCCAAAATACGCTGCCCGGGACCTGATTTCCCCGGGTGAGTTTTCTTCACATAAACCACACCTGCTTATACAATGTACATGTACTCGGAGCATTGTGCATGCAGTGCAGCAGGGACATGCGGAATACCTGTTCACGCATGTTTGTTTTTTTCTACAAAATCCACATATCTCCAGACACTGGGGTGAATGATGGAGTGTGGTGGTGGGGCCCATTAAGCTCCGCAGACTAGAGGTCTCGGCTTCATAGCTCCATGGACGCACCAAAGGGAGATTGGGTAGGGAGGATTAAATTGAAAAAGAAAACAGAAGAAAGAAAATGGAAAGATTGTATTGCTCAGTGAGCAATGTGCCATGTTATGCAAGGTACATAGTACACCGATTACAGGATCTTACGAGCAGAGGTGTTCTTATTACCTATTTAGGAATATGTTCCTTATAGGGGCAATGCAATGGGGTCAAATCTGCCTTATACGGGAGCTAGCTGAGTGACAAAATGCCCATTTAAGGGTTAAGTGCATACAGAAACCCAAGAAGAACTTTGAGCGACAAACGTACTATGGGATGTGCATTGCACATCCTCTATTTAGGAATGTGTTCCTTATAGTTAAACGTCCGAGATTATGGTGAAGGGAAGCTGGAAGTTCTCCCGATCTGTGCAGTGTGCACACACCTGCCACGTATGGTCGGTTTGCCTCTCAGCCACTTCAATTAGTTCAATATAAGGCAGATAGTGACAGCATCACACAGATCCTACACTGCTGCAGGCGAAGGCCGCTAACAGCGCTAGTGCTCCATGCCACCAAGCAGCAGATCCATAGTCACAACGCCACATTTGGCTCTGTGTTCTGAGGCACTTGTGCATCGGTAACGGCAAGAGTACAGTGCTAGCAACTGAAACCCGACCCCTGGGCGGTGCGCTCACGTCGCAAAGACCCAACACGGGATTGTAAAACTACGAAACAGAGACCGGTAGAATGTGAACGCGCCGCTCGGATTTCAGTTGCCAGCACTGTACATAACCCCCTAGAGTGTGCAACTTCAGCTATGGGGGCTGCGTCTCTCCGACGCCAGAACTTCACATCACGTGACGAACCCGTACATATTTGTTGCACCCTGTGCATGATAGGTACAGGGCTGTATGCAACCCTGATTTTTGGGGAGTTCAACTCTCTTGTGGTCAATTTGCACTGTTTGCCAAAGTAACCTTTCGAACCATGTCAGGTGCTGTGAAATTCTGCCATCGCAGCACTGTTATCAAGAGTACATACCCCCCCCCCCCCCCCCCCCCAGAGTACAAGAGTGTGCAACGCCTGATCCAGCTCTGCATAGGGTCTTGGTCGAGAAGTGTACGGTACTATGACGCTCGACCAAGACCCTATGCACAGCTGGATCAGGCGTTGCACACTCTGGCTCTTGCTGTTATGTACAGAGGTTGCGCAGGCAGTTGCACACTCTTGGGGTTATGTACTCTTGGTAATGGTGATACTGTACCGGCAGAAGTACACATTACTGACCAGTGAAGCCCCAACCCCCCACAGCACGGGCTCAACATTATGCCTCACTGTTGATCACAACAACACGAGCACAGATGCACCGTCAGACACATTTTAGTATTTTTAAGTATTCATTTTAGTATTCAAATCGATGCAACTCTATGGCCCTTTTTCTACAGTGCATATAAAGCAATTCATGTGTATGAAGATGAACACTCACCCAACGACAATACTGTACAGGCAGTCAGGGAATAGACTAGATATTTATAATTACACCCTGGCTACAGCTAGCTACACACCTGGGATCACACTTGTGATCACACCTGTGATCATATCGCAACTACAATACAATACCATGAGTACTAGCACAGTAAAAATCTGGGCGATAACTGCCTGACCCTGTGCCTAAACCCAGATTCAACCCTACATCTAGGCACGCGCAGCGGCACGCTGGTTTTCTCAACCAGTTTGTGCTTCAGTGCACGGATGGCTGCGCGTGAGCATGTGAAGTCATGCTACTGCTCCGCCAACATGAGCAAAGCGTATCACACAGAACATAGCACAGGTCTACTCTCTAGTAGTAGTGGTAGATAACCCCAGGGGGGGGGGGGGGGGGGGGGGGGAGAGGGTTAAATTGTGTGTCTTATAACGAGTAGTATCTACTACCCCGACGTGAATGTACCCATTTCAGGCGTCAGGGGATTTTTGATCGTTGTCTACTAATGAGGTTTGTCTTGTAAGGGATGTGGTACTAACGAGGGTAGATCTGTATGGCCAAATCCCCTGTGTGTCTGCAGATTGTAGGAGGACAGCATGATCAGGTGTACCGGTACTTCACAGCACTATACACATCACTCGTGTATTACCGGGTATGAAGTACTAGAGCAGTTCGGGGCACAAACTGCCGACTGCCACCTGCTCACTGGAATGTGCCATCAGCACTCAAGCCTAACCGTCAAACACATCTTCTTCTCCTAAACACCACGTGTGAGAAATTGCGTGTAAGAAATGCACCCGCACAATGGGATTACCAAAATACATGTCGAGTCTGACAAGTCCAATTTCTTCACCATTCTATTTGATGTCAATGATCGAACGAATTTTCAACAGGATCGTGGTGAGCATGCAATCATAATAATTATATCTACGATCCCCCCAGCATCCACTGACCTGCTCCATGCAGAAGGGAAGCGCTAGCATGCTCACTCCAATAATGCTGTTGGAGAGGTTGACCACGAACGGCCATGATGGCTCTGTCGAAGTCATTCACCACCTTTCTACGCGAGCACTATGTTCCAGAAGCACCAGACGTCACCACACTGGAAAATAAATTTCTCTCAGCAACATTCCATGCCGCTTGAATCTATGCTACGATTGGCACACAAAAGCGCTCGTCTCGAGCAAGGCTCCTGGAACTATGTAAGGCCAATGGCCGAACGAACTAAACAGAGCAGCTTCGATGAAAACACTAAAATAGCTGAGTTAGACTCACGATTTCAAGACCTCTTTCGTCAACAAGACTACAACAACATCTCACATTCTCACTGTTTGTCTTGCTCTGATTTGACCCAAAAAAAGGAAGTCGTAAAATACCGACTTCCTGCAATGAGTTCAACAATAATATCCGCCGAAACCAGGGAGGTTCAAACCGAAAACCAAAAAAAAACCTAACATTTTTCACTCGAAACTGTGCATGCATGTGACGTGACCATGGTGACTGCTAGTGCTAGCATGCTGTGACGAAATCCGCCCACCGCGTAGAAACGACTTACGTCACCACACCGAGTCAGACGACGGGGAAACCCCGCTCGATCGAAATAAAGAAAAAAACTAGTGTCAGAAGTGGGATTCGAACCCACGCCTACAGAAGTAGACTGCGACCTGAACGCAGCGCCTTAGACCGCTCGGCCATCCTGACATTTACGATAATATCAGGTGCAAAAAGATTTATAAGTAGGCACACAGCATTCTATTCAAAATTTAATAATAATAATAAGGCCAAACTAAAGAAGGTGTGTACGTGTGGTTCGACTAACATGGACATTTTTTTTACGGGCGGGCGGGCGGATTTTTTTTTTTTAATATATTTTTTAGTACATGTAAATACACTGTATACGCGTATCGAGTAGACTCTACTACCAGCACAAAGGCAGCAGTCGTACCACTCACTGCACTGCACTGCAGTACAACTACAAGTCAAGTCCAATAGGAGCCGCCTGCGTCCGCAGACTCACGCCGCACAGCACGTAGACGTGGACGTGTTCAGTCCACGTACGTCAGTCACACGACAGCCCGCCGAAAAAAAGTTACGGTCGGGCTGAAATTGTACGGTCGGTCGGGTGAGTCGAACCACACACCTTCTTTAGTTTGGCCTAATAATAATAATAATTATCATAATGCCCTCCATGAACTTTTCCCATACTAATCGGAGGAAGCGATGCAGCAACACTCACAAAACTACTGCAGTTCAGACAGAACATTACTTCACAGAAGTCACAGGTCACACAGGACAGTACAGGCAGATGCACAGTACACCTACACACTGACATACCGGTATTACTACCGGTATACCATGTACTGTACTACTGTCCTGAATCTGTTTATGTGACATGATGCCTGATGCCAGTGATGGTGAGTCATTTTGGTGACACACAAAGGCAGCGCTAGCGAGACATGAGCGAGTACTACAATTTTTTGTATGACCGTGATGACTGTAGCTGTAGGTCTACAATCAGTGTCATGTACAGGCGCCTACCGGTATACCAGGTATACCAGGCTAGGGAACCCAGCCCCAGGCAGCGCGTGCTGCAAGCACACGGTGAAAAAATGTGCTTCTGCACTTTTCAGTCAAAACACTCGATCGCTAATAAATAAAGCCAGTAAAGGTCATCAGACCAACTCCCTGACACGGACAGGGAGGAGTTGTGCGAGAAGCCATGAATGAAGGGTGCGTTTGTGAACGTTGAAATGTCCTTGATATGATGGTGGCACGTTGAAGATCGCTCACTGGGAGAGGATGGCGTCAGCAGAGGGGGAGTTGGAAGGGTTCGCATTTTCCGACAAAGGTCGTCCGGTTGGAGAGGGAGAATTTGGTAAAATTCTGGAAGGGCTGTGGCATCGGAAACCGGTAGCCGTGAAAGTGTTGTCTGCGCCAGTGGCCGCTGATGATGCTGATGCTGATGCAGACTGTGTTTCGAAGACCCTCTGCGATGCCGTGAAAGCGCTGTGGAGCGAGCTGCGTGCGCTGCCCAAGCATGCGAACATAGCGTCGTATGCTGGTGTGGCCGGATTGTCGATCAAGCAGCCCAGTCTGGTGCGAAGTGATAAGTACTCGATGTCCCTAGCGCACCGCGCTACTCTCGAACCACGTGTCGAGCAACGGCAACGCATCGACATAGCGGGAGATATTATAGCGGGTCTGGCGTTCCTGCACGGCAACCGTATCCTGCATGGGAGATTACAGTCGACCAACGTCCTACTGAGCGACGTGAAATGCGAACACTGCTGCGTGTACCTGTGCGATGCAGCCGTGTACAGGGTCTACGACAAGGTTTGGCCGTACAATTCCAACAGCGGGAACGTGCGCATGAAATGGCTCACGCCCTACGTGAGTCCTGAACTGGAGCGAGCTAGCGCTTACGCGCCGACGGTAAAGTCCGACGTGTTTGCGTTCGGCCTAGTTGTCCTGGCGATGGAGGTATGCCGAGAACCACCCAATCTCGTGACCAACCCACGGTCAGATGAGATGAGACCGGAGATCGAGCGTCATGCAATGGACCTGGCCACTGTCGAGGACACGAATCCGCTCAAGGACATCATCGTGAAGTAAGCGTGCGTGTGTGTGTGTGGGGGGGGGGGGGGGGGGGGGAGGCTACTGGTGTGCGTGCGCGCGTCACGGGTATTTGCAGTGCATGAACTCTGGCCAGTCGCCCCCGTACCCAAAATGCGTACGCATTTGGATCTACCGTACATTTCCTCGTGTTTTGGGCGAATCTGAGCGGTACGACGCTGTCGAATTGGACCTGAATTTGCCCTGAACCAGCCACTATCGGAGTAAAATTAGGTGTTTTGAAGGACAGACGGGAACTCTGCGGCCATGTCTTCTTTCCTGCGTCGTTTGTTTGAAAATCGGAGTGTTTTTGAGCTCGTAGTTTCGTCTTCGTTGTGGAATTGCCGTGCGTACATTCTCCTTGGAATTACCAAAGTCACACCTCCGTTTATTACATTACAAGGAGTTTTGCCGGCAGCCACGATAGTATTTATCCCTGCTTCCATACGTCCTTTCATTGAACAGCCAAACGAAACTTTGTGGCGCGCCTTAGTTTTTTGTGGTGCGGGGGTCTCAAGTTTGTCACTTCGAGTTGTACACAACAACCACATCAACACCTCAAAGGCCGGACCAAAAAACCAAGTGAGCAAAGTATTTCAACGTTGCGATTTTGCCTGGTCTGCTGTGAAGATGGAGACTTCTACTCGGTAGCAGATACTCGTATCAATAAGCTGGGAGGGAGAGCGTGGCGAGTAAAATGTTGGGATGAAAAGAGCCACATTCTCTCTCGGAAAAGGTCGTCGTTCCAACACACTTGCTCTACCCAGATCTGCAGAAGGCTAGATTTTGCATGCACGTGCGAGATTCGCATCCGCCGCGCACATAGCCAGAGTCGAAATTTTTGTACTCTCGGATTTGCCGCCATCTTGACGAGTGGCCACTGCGAAACACCCGTGGCGTGTGTGTGTGTGCGTGTGTGTGGGGGGGGGGGGGGGTGCGTGTGTGTGTGTGTGTGTGTGTGTGTGTGTGTGTGTGTGTGTGTGTGTGGTGTATGTGCTTGTGTGTGTGTGTGTGCTCTGATTTTGTAAGGACCGGTTACGTGAGGGATCAGTCACTGGTCGAGAACTGGACGTTTTATCA